GATAGGGTTTTCCAGGTCTTTTTTATATCACCTCATAAGTTGGATAATCTGTTCTCATAATACAATTTTTTTGCCCTTCTTATCAGGCTGGTTAGGATTGACGAGTAACATTTTGTTTGGTCTCTGGTTATGTGACCCATTCTGTACTGTTTTTCATATAGGTGTTTTGTATTTATGGATTTGAGAATGCTGGGTGTTATCCAGGGACTGTTCAGTCTCTTAGCTGTCATCTGTTTAGTTTTTTTAGGGCAGTGCTTGTTATAGAGGTATTGGGTCTTTTTTAGAAAATTATTAATGCTTTCGTCAATATCTGTATAGATTTCTAGCTCAGTGTGCCAGTCAATGTTTGTTACTGCTGTTGTGAAGTTATTAATGGCTGCCTCATTGTGAAGTCTGAAGGTGACTTTAGTAGTGTCTTGGGGTAATGTACCAAGAGTTATGAGGAAAGTAGGGTAGTGGTCTGTGGTATTATCTGTGATTATGCCTCATTTTAAAGGGGATATGGTGTTGGTCCAGATGTAGTCAAGTAGGGAAACACTAGTCTCTGTAATTCTTGTAGGTTTTGTTACTGTTGGTAGCAACATGCAGCTATTCATTGTGTTTGTGAATTCAGTAATGTGTGGGTCCTGGTCTTGCAGGAGATTTATATTGAAATCACCTGAGAGTAGTAAGTGATCTTTGTTCATGCATGCATCAGTTATCATACTTCCTAGGTTTTGACTAAATCAGCTAATGTTTGACTGTGGAACTCTGTAGATGTTTATCACTGTGAGAGGTTTTTATAGGTATTTGGATTTGAATTTAGCTATTATATATTCCCCATGTTCATCCCTTGTGCAAGTATTAGTGATACATTCTAGTTGGTCTGAGTAGTATATAGCTGTGCCACCCCCTTGTTGGTCTGGCCTACAGTTGTGTATGGCTGTGTAACCAGGAATGGCATAGACATCAATAGTATCAGGCTTTAGCTAGGTTTCAGTTAGTGTTATGATGGACATATTGGCATGCAAGGAATTTAGTAATGCTATGAGGTCATCGTAATGTTTGCTTAAAGATCTGATATTGTAGTTAGAGAGAGTTATGTTGTTGTTGGCTCTGATGAGTGCCTTTGACTGTTCTGCTGTGTAGTAATTACAGTAACTGTTTGATTCAGTTAAGTCATTAAATAAGAGGTTGGTATCAGGATCAATGCTTGTAATCATAAGATTTGTAGTGAATCTATAGTTAGAATTAAGTATAAAACTAAGTAAATATTCTAAAACTAAAAAATAGCACCTGAATTATTTAACAAATGTAAAAAAAATGAGCTAAGGTAGTTTTTTAAAGCTAAAATAAAGGAGACAATATAAAAGGGACTAAAATAATTTGTGGTGAACAAATAAAGTGATGATCAAATAATGGAGCTTGGGAATATGATAGTAGGTAGTACTTTAAAGGTAATTCTTTTAAGTTAGAATTAGGGAAAACAATATAAAAGGGACTAATATAAGTTGTGGTGAACAATAAAGTGGTAATCAAATAAATGAGTTTTGGAATATAATGGCAAAATAGTGGACTTATTACACTTTAGCACCTGAGAATAGCACCTTGATTATTTTAACAATTGTGAATATAGGAACTAGGGTAGTTATATAAAGCTAAAATAAAGGAGAAAATATATAAGGGACTAAATTAACCCTTTGACTGTCGCGGTCGTATATGTACGTCATGGGAGATACCGTGTTTGACGTATCTATACGCATAAATTCTAGCGGCTTCAAATCGAGCGGGAGAGGGCTGGTAGGCCTACACGAGAGAGAATGGGTCTCAGTGGTTGGTGTGCACCCTGTGAAAAAAATCTGGGACTCAGCGGTGCATTGTGGGAACGCCATCTTGGTAGTCCATTTTCACCATGCCTCGCGGTAAGAAGTTCCTCACTCCTCGGCGGATTGGAGGTCTTTTGTTCCCAAGTGATAGCTCAAACAGTGATGATAGGTGTCAGTGAAAGTGAATTCCCTGGTTTTGAAGCGGGTGTGACCGAGAAAATTACCAGGATAACATAATTAGTGATGAAAACCCAGATGACCCACAACCATCCACCTCTGGTGCTAGGCCGGCTCGTTCATATTCACCTGTACCAGGACGAAAGAGGAAACTATTTGCCCGTGTACAAGACTCAGATGTGAGCAGTGCAAGTGATAGTGATAGTGATTTCAAGGTTATTGAAAGCACTTCTAGTTGTGACAGTGAGGGTGAATATTCCCCAGTGAAACGGCAGTATGTACGACGTCGCATGCGGTCTGGTAGTGTGCCATATGCTCTTCCAAGAGGAAGGAGTACATCTCGGAGCACATCCCGTGGCCCTACACCACGTCCTGATAGTGAAGATGACGATATTGTACGATGGGTATAAATGATGTGAGTGAGGCAGCGCAGGCGGTGGTGGTGTAGTGACGGTGCCATGAGTCATGTGACACGAGCAGCGGGCCATGCTAGTGCCCGCGCTGCTGACTCTGCACAACTACAACCTGCTTCGGCCGACCCCACACTCTCACAACCACAACCACAACCTGCACAACCACAACGACATTACAATATCCAGAACGCACCAGCTGACCGCATCTGGGATTGGCATCAAGATGACGAGTTTGTTCCCAATCCCCATGACTTTGATGGAGGACAAAGTGGAATACGGCCATCATGTACACTTGGGGAACAATCCCACTGAACTGGAATGCTTCAGTTGTTCTTCGATGACCCCTGATGGACATTATTGTCAGGGAAAGCAATACATACTATGAGTACACCATGGCAAACACTATGCTTTCACCAAGATCACGCCTCACACCAGTGGAAGGACACAACTGTGGCAGAGATGTATCTGTTCTTTGCCACAAATAATGCTTATGCCACATGTGTATAAGCATAGTGTCAGCACATACTGGACGACAGACCGCCTGATTTCAACCCCTGCTTTCAGTGACATTATACCAGTGAATAGATTTGTGTTACTGTTACGTATGTTACACTTTTCAGACAAAACCAGGCCTGACAGAAGCGACAGGTTATATAAGATCAGACGTGTGTTTATGTACCTGAAACAAAAGTGCTGTATGTATTTTTATCCCTTCAGGAAGCTTGTTATTAACGAGTCTTTGATTTTGTTCAAAGGAAGACTCTCATTCAAGCAGTATATACCAAGCAAGAGGAAACGCTTTGGTATAAAGTTATTTGTTCTGTGTGATTGCAAAACTGGTCTGGTTTTGGATATAATTGTGTACACTGGCGGTAAAACAATGGAAGATACCAGGAAGTTACTGGGTATCTCTGGTGATGTGGTTAGAACAATGATGGAGCCATATCTTGGTAAGGGGCATATTTTATATACTGACAACTGGTACACAAGCCCTATACTCAGTGATTTCTTGCGAGTGAACATGACAGATGTGTGTGGCACAGTGCGTAGAAGTCGTAAACATATGCCTAGGTTCGAAGCTGGCAGTCGTAGAGGTGAAGTGCAGGTGTTTGCTGCCAATGACATCATGGCATTTCGGTGGCATGACAAACGTGATGTCACACTGCTGACATCAGTTCACCGACACGAAATGGTAGAGACTGGCAAGCAGAATAGAGAGACCAATGAACCTATTGTAAAACCTGCAGCTGTGATGGATTACAACCTCAATATGCGCTTAGTGGACAAATGTGACATGCAGATTGGGTTTGCTGACTGTGTTCGCAAGAGTTATAAGTGTGTACATAAAAACTGTTTTTCCATCTTCTTGACATTTCCATGCTGAATGCTTATAATATGTATAAGTTGAAGACCAAGAACAAACCCAAATATGGTGAATTTTGTTTGTCAGTCATCAGACAAATAATATTCAAGTACCAAGAAACAACACCTGCAATAGACCAGCGCCCACGAAATTATCAACACATGTCCTCTCGTCTGAGGCCTGGTGATCACTACCCCATACCACTGCCTGCTACTACTGCCAAGAAAAATGCTCAGAAGAGGTGTTTTGTCTGTGGACATACCACAAAACGCCAACAAAAACGCAGAGACACTCGTTTTATGTGTGAGGAGTGTAAGACACCATTGTGCTTATACCCATGTTTCAAAGAATTCCACAAGCTGCAGCACTTCTAATAAAGTGTCCAGTGATTGTACATATGTATATATATTATAAAGCAATTGTAATAAACATTTGTTTACATTGTTTGTTTGTGTAAACAAGTTTTAGCAACATTATAATGATACGAGTGTTTTTGCTATAATTGTGTTACATTCAACGAGTGTATATTTGAACATTGCACAATAATTTGGTCTCACAGGCCACAAAAGTTATGTGAAAAAATAAAATAGTGAAAAAAACAAGAAACCATCGAATACAAGTAAACAAAAGTTTACCGGGTGAGCGGCAGTCGCCGCTGTTGCCGCCAGCAGATCAATTTCAGCAAACTTCAGGACTCTATATCTCGGTAAGTACTGATGGGAAAATTTTTTTTTTTGGGACTAAAACAATCAGAAAAATAATCTTAACATTTTCATAAGAAAAAATAATTTTTTTTTTTTTTCGAATATTTTGCGACACCAGGAGCAACTTCAGGATTGGGCCCTTCGACAGTCAAAGGGTTAAGTAATGGTAAAAAAAGTTAAATGGACAGATAGTCACTATGAAATAGTATTGGTATAGGAGTAAGATCTGATTTGTAATATTAAATAAGTTGAGCAGTTTATTGCACAATAAAAAGTAAAAAAAATATGAGGTAGTTGGTACTAGCTAGCAAAAGATAGTTTTGGGACTTGCAAAAAAGTAATTGGAATATACACTAATTGCACACACAATAAAAGGTGACTAAAACAAGTAGTGGTAAACAAAATTAAATGGACAGGTAAGAACCATGAACGATGTTGTATTATAGTGACCTATCTGTAACAACAAATTACCTGGGTTGTATTATGGTGACCTGCCTCTTAATTATTGTGTATAACAAGTGCATGGTGTGTTCTGCAGGTATGGAAGACGCGTTCATCAGCTGGGAGGATACGAAGGATCCTCAAGGATGTCGCTGGGGCCCCGAGCACTACCAGGAGCACAGCAGGGACCCCGCTCGCACACCAATGCAGTGGGACGATACTAACCTTGCTGGTAAGACATGTGTGACGGAACATGATGGTTGAGCTTAGAGGAACACGATAGTACCAAGGATGAAAATTGTGAGCATGTAATGTGCGACAAGAAAGAGTGTGTGTGAGAGTGAGAATGTGTGTGTGTGTGTGTGTGAGAGAGAGAGAGAATGTGTGAGTGAGAGAGAATGTGTGAGTGAGAGAGTGTGTGTAAGAGAGGATGTTTGTCTGTGTGTGTGTACTCACCTAGTTGTACTCGCCTAGTTGTGGTTGCAGGGGTTGAGTCACCACTTCTGGCCCTGCCTCTTTACTGGTCGCTACTATGTTACTCTTCCTGCTCCAGAAGCCTTATCATACCTCTTCTTAAAGCTATGTATGGATCCTGCCTCCACTATATCACTTCCCAGATTGTTTCACTTCCTGACAACTCTGTGATGGAAGAAATGCTTCCTAACATCCCTGTGATTCATCAGAGTCTTCAACTTCCAATTTTGACCCTTTGTTGCTGTGTCCCATCTTTGGAACATCCTGTCTCCGTCCACCTTGTCAATTCCTGTCAGTATTTTATGTCGTTATTGTATCCCCCCTATCTCTCCTGTCCTTCAGTGTTGTCAGGTTGATTTCCCTTAACTTCTCCTCGTAGGGCATGCCCCTTAACTCCAGGACTAGTCTTGTTGCAAACCTTTGCATGTTCTCTAATTGCCTTACATGCTTGGTTCGGTGTGGGTTCCAGTTGGTGTTGCATACTCCAGTATAGGCCTGACATACACGGTGTACAGGGTATTGAACGATTCCTTTTTGAGATATCGGAATGCTATTCTTAGGTTTGCTAGGCGCCCATATGCTGCAGCAGTTATTTGGTTGATGTGTACCTCAGATGTGCCTAGTGTTATACTCGCCCCAAGATCATTTTCCTTGAGTGAGGTTGCACTTGGTGGGGTTGAACTCCAGGAGCCAGTTTCTGGACCAAGCCTGCAGCCTGTCCAGATCCCTTTGTAGTTCTGCTTGGTCCTCGTCTGATTGGATTCTTCTCATCAACTTCACATCTGCAAACACGCACACTTCTGAGTCTATTCCTTCCATCATGTTGTTCACATATACCAGAAACAGCACTGGTCCTAGGACTGACCTCTGTGGAGCCCCGCTCCTCACAGGCGCCAACTCTGACACCTTGTCACGTACCATGACTCACTGATGTCTTCCCGACAGGTATTCCCTGATCCATTGCAGTGCTTTCCCTGTTATACCTGCCTGGTCCTCCAGCTTATGCATTAATCTCTTGTGTGGAACTGTCAGAAGCTTTCTTACAGTCCAAGAAAACTCAGTCTGGCCACCCCTCTCTCTTGTCTTACTGCTGTCACCCATAGAACTCCAGTAGGTTTGTGACACAGGATTTCCTGTCCCTGAAACCATGCTAGTTGTCGTTGGTAAGCTCATTCCTTTCTAGGTGCTCCACCACTCTTCTGATAATCTTCTCCATGACTTTGCATAATATACATGCCATTGACTCGGGTCTAGTTTAGTGCTTCATGTCTCTCCTTTTTTAAAAATTGGGACTACATTTGCTGTCTTCCATACCTGTTGTTAGTGGCACATAGTGCCTCTGCTCCCTCTCTTAGGACCCATGGAGAGATCTTATCCGGCACCATCGACTCTGAGGTGTCTAGCTCACTCAGCAGCCTCTTCACTTCTTCCTCGGTTGTATGTATTATGTCCAGCACTTGGTGGCATACCCCACCTCTGTCTTTCTGGAGTCCCTTCTGTCTCCTCTGTGAACACTTCCTTGAATCTCATGTTGAGTTCCTCACATACTTCTCAGTCGTTTCTTGTGATCTCTCCTCCTTCCTTCCTTAGGCTGATTACCTGGTCCTTGACTGTTGTTTTTCTCCTGATGTGGCTGTACAACAGCTTTGGGTCAGATTTGGCTTTTGCTGCTATGTCATTCTCATATTTCCGTTGGGCCTCCCTTCTTACCTGTGCATATTCATTTTTGGCTCTACAACTGCTCTTCTTATTCCCCTGGGTCCTTTGCCTCCTGTACTTCTTCCATTCCCTAGCACACTTGGTTTTGGCCTCCTTGCACTTTTGGGTGAACCATGGGCTCATCCTGGCTTTTTCATTATTCCTGTTATCCTTGGGTACAAACCTCTCCTCAGCTTCCTTGCATATTGTTGTCACATATTCCATCATCTCATTTACTGACTTCCCTGCCAGTTCTCTGTCCCACTGAACCCCGTTCAGGAAGTTCTTCATTGCTGCGTAGTCCCCCTTCTTGTAGTTTGGCTTCATTTGTCTGGCTCTTCCTGCTCCCCCCTCCACTTGTAACTCTACTGTGTATTCAAATCTTAAAACCACATGATCACTGGCCCCAAGGGGTCTTTCATATGTGATGTCCTCAATATCTGCACTACTCAAGGTGAATACTAAGTCCAGTCTTGCTGGTTCATCCTCTCTTTCTCTGGTAGTGTCCCTTACATGATGGTACATGAAGTTTTCCAGTACCACCTCCATCATCTTAGCCCTCCACATTTCTTGGCCCCCATGTGGCTCCAAGTTCTCCCAGTTGATTTCCTTGTGATTGAAGTCACCCATGATCAGTAGCTTTGCCCTGCTCACATGAGCCCTTCTTGCCACTTCAGCCAGTGTGTCAACCATTGCTCTATTACTCTCATCATACTCTTGCCTTGGCCTCCTGCTGTTCTTTGGTGGGTTATACATCACTGCAATTACCACCTTGGGACATCCAGACTGAAACATTCCTACTGTGTAATCCCTTGCTTCTCCACTGTCTCCTCTCTCCAGCTCATCAAAATCCCATCAATTTTTGACCAGCAGTGCCACTTCTCCACCCCCTCTGTTCCCTCTGTCTTTCCTCAGGATTTGATATCCTATTCAAAAGATGGCATCTGTTATCATGCCTGTGAGCTTGGTTTCTGTGAGAGCTATGATGTCCGGTGATGCCTCTTTGACTCTTTCATGCCACTCCTCCTACTTATTTGTTATTCCATCAGCATTGGTGTACCATACTTTCAGTTTCCTCTCCAATACTGTGTTTTGGGGGTTCTGTGAGGGTGGGGGACCTGGCAGTGTACTGTGGGATTCTATAACTGAGTGTTGGGTGGGAGCTGTGGATTGTGGTTTGTTTCGGGATAGCATGATTGGTTTTGGGGTTCTGGGGATGGTTGTGTGTGTGCTTGCTCTTGTTGCTCTGCCCTGCCCCGGTTGTCCTCTGCTGATTCTGACCTTCTCTCCTCCTAGCTCCTTTCGCTTTCGTGTTCTCTCCCTCAGCTGCTGTCATTCTGTGTTCTGTCTCGGTCTAAGAACACCCTATTGTATTCTGCCAAGTCCTTCAACCGTGGTTTCTCTTGGAGGATCCTGTTCCACACTGTTTCTATCCTGAAAATCGGCTTGATCGTTTTCTCCCCTTCAAATACTCCCCCTTTTTCTCCGAAAATTTACAATCTCGGACATGTCCTCTTTACCTATTTCTGTGATGATGTTCTCAATCTCCTTTCTGCCTGCCACCTTTCAGTGTGTGTCCTTCCCTTGCTCTCCTGAAACCCATGAATAAACACTGACTTCTCCCTCTCCTCCTCCCATTGCCTTTTCCTCTGTGACTGTGGTTCCTCTTTGTACATGGCCATTTTCTCCCTTGTTTTTTCCAGTAGCTCATGGTGGCATGTTCTTGCCACTGCATTTGACCTATCCCCCTCCCCACCTGCACCCAGCTGCTCTCCCCCTTCACTCCTTGGCCCTGTTTGGTAGGCTGCTGTGGCCTTAGCATAAGTTATACCTCCTTCCTTCCTGTTGGGCCTCCCAGCTTCATATGCTGTGTCGTCTCTGGTCAGTATGCCTGTAATTCGCTTCAACCTGCTTACCTCATCTTCTAGGACCCTTATTCTGGCTACTGCAGTTTCGACTTGAGACTCCTATTTCTTCTTCTCCTCCAGCCTCTCTTCCAATTTCACAGAAAGCTCTGTCTCCATTTTTGTAGAAAGCTGTCTTAATTTTGTCTCACTCTTGTTCCATCCTTTTGCACTGATCTTCCATCCACTCCTTCCCACCAGAACCATTCTTCCCCGATCTCTGGGTTCTTCGAGTCCCCCTCTGACACACCATTTTTTTTATTTAGAGGAGAAAAGTGAGAGAGAGAAGGGAGAGGTAGAGGAGAAAGAGAGAGAGATGGTGTGGATGTGAAGGTGGGTGTTTGTTATAGGAAAAAGGAGGGAGGTGGGGGGGAGAATATAGAGTGGGGAGGGGGACAGTGGCAGAGGGGAAGAGGGATTAGGGGGTGAGAGGGAAAGGTGTGTATGGGTCCTTATTACCCACATATATACTACTTATGTGCTACATACATACCCAATCACTTGGTTCCCACTGTGCACTGTCTTTGTGTGCTTAAAATTATGGTCAGTTCTGTAGTCACTAGGCCTCACCTTCTGTGCACACATAAGAGTTGGAGTGTGTGTATGTTGTGCATGGGTGTCTGTGGTAGGGATGGGTAGAGTTTGAGGCTCGGGAGGGGCAGTAGGTAGGTGGGGGGGTGGGGGAACTTTTGGGCCAGAGTATGAGTTAGGGAGTGAGTGAGTGTGGGTGTGTTTGAGTTTGTGTACGAGTCCTTATTACCCATATATGTACTACATGTGTACCCAGTCACTTGGTTCCCACTGTGCACTGTCTTTGTGTGCTTAAAATTACGGTCAGTTCTGTAGTCACTAGGCCTCACCTACTCCTGCACGTGCATGTATCCTACCAAGGCTACCTTCTGTTCCCCTACTAATTGTCTTTCTTCTAAATGATAAGTACTGTAAGTATGATAAACACATTGGAGCAGGGTTTGCGACCTGCAGCTACCAGCAACCCAGGGCCAAAACTATATCTCAACATGCACCTGATAGCACAAACATAGGTGTTTTGTACATTACACCTTGCAGAAGTCTTCCATCTTGGCTGCAGCTGTATGATGACTCTTGCTGCTGCTCCTCCCTGGTTCCTCTGTTCTTTGTTTCAGTTATTCTGTTCTTATTACCTGTTTGAGTCATTATTTACCACACTTCTCACTTTATATA